TAGCAACAGTGGGAAGCGTGAAAATAGTGGTAGCAGTGGTTTATAATCCCCACCAAACAAAAGAAGGCCCTTTGAAGAATACGATTCATGCAATGCAAATTGCCTAAAAGTGATGGCAAAAGCAGCCACAGTAGCAACGGAAACGAGAGCTAAAATTCTAATACTGGAGGACTTCACCCCACAGGAAAATAGACTGGATAAATGAGGATCCCCGTGTGGGTGATGAGACGCGAAGAGGAAAACTGGTAGACATAAGAGGAGACGATCTAAAAGCATCACTAGACATAGTGTTTTCACAAAATGAAGCAGATGTTGAAAAAAATTAGTATGAGATGCCTCGAGGAGCCTTGCGACCAGCTTAAGCTTAAGGCATTGTCATGCTTTAATACATAGTGGAACTGAAGGAATTGGTTACACAAAGAAACCCGTTGATGAATAAGAGAGATTATAGACGCGGGACGACAACAGGATGAGGGACTTTCTGTGGGAAATTTAATTGGAAAGAGAAATGGAAATGAAGACAGCAAACGAGATGATGAAATTCATTGTTGTGAATTGTGTCAATGCAACGGAACAGTTGATACCACTCATAAAAGAGGTGGATTGAAAAAAAATAGTAAACCTATGGTTCAATAGGCGATGCATGGAAGCTAAAGAAAGAACAAAAAATCATGGAAAAAATACAGAGAAATGAGAACAGAGAAAAATAGAGACACTAAAATGAACTAGGAATAAATACAGCTGAATTAGGAGCGAAGCCCTAGAGGCAATTTGAAAATGACGTTTCTGCAAAAGCTAAGTATTAGAACCACCTTGGAGACCAAGGTTGCAAGATGAAAGGCCAGAAGATATACTGGATGGTATTATGGTCATGGTGGAAGAGGTGAAAAAATCCTGGGGGACCTAGACGGTACAAAATCATTGGGTCAGACCTAATCTCACCATGGCTGCTGAGGGAGGCTACAAAAGCACTCTGCCACACATTGTCTAAAATTTGGAATAAAACATTTGAGACAGGAAGTGTCCGTGTTGTCTGGAAAAATCAAATGTATTCACATTATTTAAAAAATTAGATGGCAGGAGGCATTAAACAACAGGCTAGTATCATTGACACGATTCCATATAGAGTGCTGGAAAAAATAATCAGGTTGTGAATTATGGAGCATCTTGAGAGGATCGACTTTGTAACAAAAAGACAGCATGGATTTAGAAATGGAAAATCGTGCCTGACCTAGCACGACCTACCCGAGCGGCCGAGCGATTATATTACGTAGCTGTCACCCATGCAACCCCCCCCCCTTTCAATGGCACCGAAAGTCTCCAATAAAAAGCCAAATTCTAATATGATTGGTTCCAGACAAGTTGCAGGAACTGCCAGAACAAAGACCAAGGTTGCAACAGTTGAAGGCAACAACAAACTTCCCTAGGGGATCCAACTTCAGAGTTTACCTCAAAGTAGGTGAAAGAAGGCACAAGGACTCCAAACCCGGAGCCCGCCGTGGTCATGGTCGGAGAAGAACCACCCCATCAAGGGCAAGAAAGACCCCAGCCTCCTGAAGGAGAGCTTGGGCCTCACGAGCCCCAGGAGGTGAACGTCCGAGCCCCGCACCTACGGGTTCCAGACACTGATCGTCACAGCCCTCTTTCACCCGATGCCACCTTCCTTCATGACCCAGCACAAGGAAGAGTAATAATTATTAATTATATTATTATTATAATAATAATTGTTTTAATTATTACTCTACCTTCACCTATTGCAGACCCAGCATTATTACTCTACCTTCTCCATCGCAGACCCAGCATTATTACTCTACCATCTCCATCGCAGACCCAGCATTATTACTCTACCTTCTCCATCGCAGACCCAGCATTATTACTCTACCTTCTCCATCGCAGACCCAGCATTATTACTCTACCATCTCCATCGCAGACCCAGCATTATTACTCTACCTTCTCCATCGCAGATCCAGCATTATTACTCTACCTTCTCCATCGCAGACCCAGCATTATTACTCTACCTTCTCCATCGCAGACCCAGCATTATTACTCTACCTTCTCCATCGCAGACCCAGCATTATTACTCTACCATCTCCATCGCAGACCCAGCATTATTACTCTACCTTCTCCATCGCAGACCCAGCATTATTACTCTACCTTCTCCATCGCAGACCCAGCATTATTACTCTACCTTCTCCATCGCAGACCCAGCATTATTACTCTACCATCTCCATCGCAGACCCAGCATTATTACTCTACCTTCTCCATCGCAGACCCAGCATTATTACTCTACCTTCTCCATCGCAGACCCAGCATTATTACTCTACCTTCTCCATCGCAGACCCAGCAGAATGGGTCTGCGATGGTGCTGGACCAAAATCATTGGGTCAGACCTAATCTCACTATGACTGCTGAGGGAGGCTACAGAAGCACTCTGCCACACTCGGTATTGGCGTTTGTGTTTCCATTGGAGACATTTGGCAAAGTGGAAAGTGGGGACCTGCTGCATGGGTGACAGCTTCTCCCTCACAACCCGTCTCAACCTACCCTCCGGCTTTGCAACCTGGATAGGCCACACCAGACCGATAACCAGAGCACATATATAACCCTCAGTTATATCACTTGGTGATGTAACTGAGGGTTACTACTGGGTGATACTACTGTTTTAATTATTGGGTGAAAACACTGGTTGTTATTATCGAATAAAACTGGGTGATTCTAATGGGTCAAACTACTGATTGATACTACTGGCAGTTACTTCTGTGTGATACTACTGGCAGTTACTTCTGTGTGATACTACTGGCAGTTACTTCTGTGTGATACTACTGGCAGTTACTTCTGTGTGATACTACTGGCAGTTACTTCTGTGTGATACTACTGGCAGTTACTTCTGTGTGATACTACTGGCAGTTACTTCCGTGTGATACTACTGGCAGTTACTTCTGTGTGATACTACTGGCAGTTACTTCTGTGTGATACTACTGGCAGTTACTTCTGTGTGATATTACTGGGTGATACTACTGGGTATTACTACTGGGTGATACTACTGGGAGTTACTGCTGAGTGTTACTACTGTGTGATACTACTGGGTGTTGCTGCTGGGTGATACTACAGGGTGTTACTACTGAGTGACACTACTGGGATGATACTACTGGGTGATACTACTGGGTGTTACTACTGGGTGTTACTACTGGGAGATACTACTGGGTGATACTACTGGGTGTTGCTGCTGGGTGATACTACTGGGTGTTACTACTGAGTGACACTACTGGGAGTTACTGCTGAGTGTTACTATTGTGTGATACTACTGGGTGTTGCTACTGGGTGATACTACTGGGTATTACTACTGGGTGATACTACTGGGAGTTACTGCTGAGTGTTACTACTGTGTGATACTACTGGGTGTTGCTGCTGGGTGATACTACTGGGTGTTACTACTGAGTGACACTACTGGGATGATACTACTGGGTGATACTACTGGGTGTTACTACTGGGTGTTACTACTGGGAGATACTACTGGGTGATACTACTGGGTGATACTTCTGGGTGATACTACTGGGTGTTACTACTGAGTGACACTACTGGGATGATACTACTGGGTGATACTACTGGGTGTTACTACTGGGTGTTACTACTGGGAGATACTACTGGGTGATACTACTGGGTGATACTTCTGGGTGATACTACTGGGTGTTACTACTGAGTGACACTAATGGGTGATACTACCGGGAGATAGTATTGGGAGTTACTATTGGGTGTTACTACTGGGTGTTAGTACTGGGTGTTACTACTGGGAGATACTACTGGGTGATACTACTGGGTGACACTACTGGGTGATATTACTGGGATGATACTACTGGCTGTTACTACTGGGTGTTACTACTGGGAGATACTACTGGGTGATACTACTGGGTGATACTACTGGGTGATACTACTGGGTGATACTACTGGGTGTTACTACTGAGTGACACTAATGGGTGATACTACCGGGAGATAGTATTGGGAGTTACTATTGGGTGTTACTACTGGGTGTTAGTACTGGGTGTTACTACTGGGAGATACTACTGGGTGATACTACTGGGTGACACTACTGGGTGATATTACTGGGATGATACTACTGGCTGTTACTACTGGGTGTTACTACTGGGAGATACTACTGGGTGATACTACTGGGTGATACTACTGGGTGATACTACTGGGTGATACTACTGGGTGTTACTACTGAGTGACACTACTGGGTGATAGTACTGGGTGATACTACTGGCTGTTACTACTGGGTGTTACTACTGGGTGTTACTACTGGGTGATAGTACTGGGTGATACTACTGGGTGATACTACTGGGTGTTACTACTGAGTGACACTACTGGGTGATACTACTGGGTGATACTACTAGGTGATACTACTGTGTGTTACTACTGGGTGATATTACTGGGTGTTACTACTGGGTGATACTACTGGGTGACACAACTGGGTGATACTAATGGGTGATACCAGTGTGTGATACTAATGTAGGATACTAATGTGTGATATATCTCTGTGATACTACTAGTATTATCACCCAGTTGTATCCCACAGTAGAAACTCCCAGCAGTATCTCCTATTACTATCACCCAGTAATATCACACAGTGATAATTGGTGATAATCATTAGGTTACACCCATTACTGGATGACTTTCATTAATGAGTGTCTTATTACTGTGAGATACACATTACTGTGTGACACACATTACTGTGAGACACACATTACTGTGAGACAAGCAATACTGTGAGACACAATACTGTGTGACACACATATCTGTGTGACACACATTAATGTGAGACACACATTACTGTGAGACACACATTACTGTGAGACACACATTACTGTGAGACTTAAGTGTGGGATACACATTACTGTGAGACTTAAGTGTGGGATACACATTACTGTGAGACTTAACTGTGGGATACACATTACTGTGAGACTTAACTGTGGGATACACATTACTGTGAGACTTAACTGTGGGATACACATTACTGTGAGACTTAACTGTGGGATACACATTACTGTGAGACTTAACTTTGGGATACACATTACTGTGAGACATTGTTTTGAGACTCATTACTGTGATACTTTACTCTAAGACATTACTGGGATATTTTACTGTGAGACATTACTGTGTGACAAACTTTACTGTGAGACATTACTGTGTGACAAACTTTACTGTGAAACATTTTTGTGTGACAAATTTTACTGTGAGACATTAATGTGAGACACGCATTACTGTGAGGCATTACTTTGAGACACACACATTTATTGTGAGACATTACTGTGAGACACACATTACTGTGAGACATTTCTGTGAGTCACACATTACTGTGAGACAAAAATTACTGTGAGACACATTACTGTGCGACACAAATTACTGTGAGACACATTACTGTGAGACACACAATACTGTGAGACACACGTTACTGTGAGACACACAATACTGTGAGACACACGTTACTGTGAGACACACATTACTGCGAGACACACATTACTGTGAAACATAAGTGTGAGCCATTACTGTGAGACACACATTACTGTGAGACACACAATACTGCGAGACATACGTGTAAGGCATTACTGTGAGACACATTACTGTGAGACATAAGTGTGAGACATTACTTTGAGAAACACATTACTGTAAGACACACATTACTGTGAGACACACATTACTGTGAGACATTAATATGAGAAACACATTACTGTGAGACACACATTACTGTGACACACACATTACTGTGAGACACACATTACTTTGAGACACACATTACTGTGAGACATTACTGTGAGACACACATTACTGTGAGACACACATTACTGTGAGAAACACATTACTGTGAGAAACACATTACTGTGATACACACTTTGCTGTGAGACTCACATTACTGTGAGATACACAATACTGTGAGACACACATTACTGTGAGACACACAATACTGTGAGACACACAATACTGTGTGAGAATCATTACTGTGGGTGATTACTAGTGTTGGGGGATGTGTATTGTACCTGGGAGGTGTTGGGCATGACCCCGGGGAGTGCGTCCAGAAGGGCCTCTGTGGTGGCTAATTCCTCCGTCTGGAACCTCACCACAGTCACCGACTCACCGCCTGAAAATGTCCATCTTAGTGCGTGTGCCTATCATAACACTGAACATTATGCATGACACAGAACAAGATTAAATTTGGTCACACACACACACACACACACACACACACACACACACACACACACACACACACACACACACACACACACACACACACACACACACACACACACACACACACACACACACACACACACACACACACACACACACACACACACACACACACACACACACACACACACACACACACACACACACACACACACACACACACACACACACACACACACACACACACACACACACACACACACACACACACACACACACACACACACACACACACACACACACACACACACACACACACACACACACACACACACACACACACACACACACACACACACACACACACACACACACACACACACACACACACACACACACACACACACACACACACACACACACACACACACACACACACACACACACACACACACACACACACACACACACACACACACACACACACACACACACACACACACACACACACACACACACACACACACACACACACACACACACACACACACACACACACACACACACACACACACACACACACACACACACACACACACACACACACACACACACACACACACACACACACACACACACACACCACACACACACACACACACACACACACACACACACACACACACACACACACACACACACACACACACACACACACACACACACACACACACACACACACACACACACACACACACACACACACACACACACACACACACACACACACACACACACACACACACACCACACACACACACACACACACACACACACACACACACACACACACACACACACACACACACACACACACACACACACACACACACACACACACACACACACACACACACACACACACACACACACACACACACACACACACACACACACACACACACACACACACACACACACACACACACACACACACACACACACACACACACACACACACACACACACACACCACACACACACACACACACACACACACACACACACACACACACACACACACACACACACACACACACACACACACACACACACACACACACACACACACACACACACACACACACACACACACACACACACACACACACACACACACACACACACACACACACACACACACACACACACACACACACACACACACACACACACACACACACACACACACACACACACACACACACACACACACACACACACACACACACACACACACACACACACACACACACACACACACACACACACACACACACACACACACACACACACACACACACACACACACACACACACACACACACACACACACACACACACACACACACACACACACACACACACACACACACACACACACACTGTAAGGAAGTGTTTACTAGAGTTGGACGTGACGAAGGCTATAGGCCCAGATGGAATCTCCCCTTGGGTTCTAAAGGAAGGAGCAAGAGAACTGAGCCTACCACTCTCCATAGTGTATAACAAATCACTGGCAACAGGGGAACTGCCAGATACTTGGAAAGCAGCTAACGTAGTCCCGATATACAAGAAAGGGGATAGACAGGAGGCACTGAACTACAGGCCAGTGTCCCTAACCTGCATACCATGCAAGCTGATGGAGAAGATTGTGCGAAAAAAACTAGTGGAGCATCTGGAGCGAAGGAACTTTGTAACACAGCATCAACATGGGTTCAGGGATGGCAGGTCCTGCCTCACAGGGTTACTTGAATTCTACGACCAGGCAACAAAAATAAGGCAAGAAAGAGAAGGGTGGGCAGACTGCATATTTTGGATTGTCAGAAAGCCTTTGATACAGTGCCACACAAGAGGCTAGTGCGAAAGTTGGAGATGCAGGCTGGAGTGAGAGGGAAGGTACTCCGGTGGATAGAGGAATACCTAAGCAACAGGAGACAACGAGTCTGTGTGAGGGGTGAGGTCTCAGATTGGCGAGACGTCACAAGTGGAGTCCCGCAGGGGTCAGTCCTTGGACCTATACTGTTTCTGGTATATGTAAATGATCTCCCAGAGGGTATAGATTCGTTCCTCTCAATGTTTGCCGACGATGCAAAAATTATGAGGAGGATTGAAACAGAGGATGACAGTAGGAGGCTACAAGATGACCTGGATAGACTGAGTGAATGGTCCAACAAATGGCTGTTGAAGTTCAACCCGAGTAAATGCAAAGTAATGAAACTAGGCAGTGGAAACAGGAGGCCAGGTACAGGATACAGAATAGGAGATGAAGTACTTAATGAAACAGACAGAGAGAAAGATCTAGGAGTTGATATCACACCAAACCTGTCTCCTGAAGCCCACATAAAGAGAATAACGTCTGCGGCATATGCGAGGCTGGCTAACATCAGAACGGCGTTCAGGAACCTGTGTAAGGAATCATTCAGAATCTTGTACACCACATATGTAAGACCAATCCTGGAGTATGCGGCCCCAGCATGGAGCCCGTACCTTGTCAAGCACAAGACGAAGCTGGAAAAAGTCCAAAGGTATGCTACTAGACT